TGCCTCCTTCCCAGGATGAGAGAGAGTGACTGGTCCAAAGCTGGCTTTATGCTTAAGGTAGGTCTCCTGGGTTCTAGCCTGGTACTTGTACCAAAGTAGCTCTCAAATATAATGGCGCTCTTTTAATTTCATAGCTTCTGAAGATGGGCAGGAATGGGCAAACAAGAGAAAACAATTGTAGTTCCTCCTTTTTGTTTTTGTTTCACAAACCATGGATATCAGAGAAAAAGAGATTGGGCCCCTAACGCTGATATCCAGAAAGTACAACCTATACTCATTAACTTCCAGGGCAATGAAGAATGCTTGGAAATGAAAAATAATAGTCCCTTGTGTTACCTACTTTTTGCTCTCCAACTGAATGGTGTGTTGGTGGAGACTGTAATTCTCCACCCTCCAAGAGCTCAAGTGAGCAACCAAAGGCAATAGTTTCTTTCTAAGGAATGGCCAGTTTCATCTCACTAGCTTCTTCTACACGATTAAGAAAGAGATGATACAAGTAGGTAGAACAATCCAGACAGGAAACAAGTGATCAGTTGATGTAATCAGGAGTGATGTGATCAGGGGTGATTACTCAAGTCTTAAGCCTGCCCTTGAACCTCAAGGTTAAGCCTTTCACTGCAGGAATTATTACCAACCAGCCTTCCTTTGTTTTGGCTATTTCACATCTTCTATTCCAGTGGTTCTCAACCTTTTTAATGCCGTGACCCCCAACCGGTCGTAAGTCGAGGACTACTCAACCAGTCATAAGTCAAGGACTACTCAACTGGTGCAACACCGTTTGCAGAATGGGACTTTTGGTGGGCTCAGCAGGGCAGAGACAGCCTGGACAATTCCTATTGGCTTTTGAAAGCCAATAGAATTAGACTCTATTCAAGAGAGTCTATTCTATTGGCTTTCAAAAGCCAATAGAATAAAAGGGAGTAGCACAGCTAAGGAAAAGGGGGAAAAAATGGCGGACTGCGTTGTTTGGCGACCCCCGTGAAATGGTCGTTCGACCCCAAATGGGGTCCCGACCCACAGGTTGAGAACCACTGTTCTAGTCCCCATCTTTTATCCTTTTACTCAGACTAATTAAAATAACATCTTAAAGTATGATTATTTTCATAGAAAATTATGACAACAGACAGGAATATTAAAGTCCTGTCTCTTGAAGGCATATATCCAACACTAGAGTCCAAACTAAACCTTCCCCAGAACTTAGCCATCCAGTCTCTGCTTAAAGATATCCAGTTGATTTAAATTCTATGAAAGCAGATTCATCTGGCTTCCTGCAAGCTAATTTAATTACTCTGTCTCCTAACCTCTGGGATGGCAGAAAGCAGTTCTTCACCTTCTTTGGCCTGATGTATTTTCTACAATGCTATCAATGAGGAAGACTCTTATGGAAGTACTTTTGTACCTCTCTTGCATGCACCCTAATGACTGGAAATAGCCATTTATGCCATTCATCCACTGCAAAAATTAAGATTAAGGTATCGCAATAAATAGTTATTTTGCCTCTGCCTTTTGAACATCCAAAAGATAATATATTTATTTTTAAAAAAACAAAATGGCATCAGCCCCTTCTTTGTTCTTGAACACTAGATAAATGCTAAAGACACTTAACAGCTAGTAAATAAATATGGGCTCACCAGGAAACCAGCAACAACCTGTGAGCACCCAGAATGTCCCAAAGCTTCTTATTCACAAAACTATCGCTATATATTTTCGGTCAAGCAGATAGCTGAACCAGCACTTAAGAACTGTATACCATGGAGTTTCATTAGGGCTTAAAACATCCTAATTGAGCCGTCTTAGCATAAAGTGTTGAAAGTGGCAGTAACCTTGGACCATTTTTTTTTAAAAAAAAATCATGCTAGGACTAGCCAAGATAACTTGGATGAAAAAAAATAGATTGCTGATGTCTGAAATAATTCTGAGCTTGAACTTGACAGTTAATTCAGAATAGTGTACAGTCAGAAGGGGTTTCTGAAAATGAGTTTAAAGAATATGACACAGATTAGGCTCAGAAGGAACTGCTGACACACTATCAGATCCAGAACCAGAATTAGTATTAAGAGCTCAAAGATCTAATAAAGGAATCCCACCTGCCTTTAACCCCGTTTTCCCAGTTAAGTTTTTAATGTTTGCTGCTATTTCAAAAATAAACTCCAAACTGTATTTTTTTTCTTTTTTTTGCTAGATGAACTGAATGGTGTGCATAATTGCTCTGATCTGGAAACAGTGTACTGGATGCAAACTAAACTGGGTGGTTTTGTGTGTGTGTATGTCTGCCTTCAAGTTAGTGTTGAGTCCTGGTGACTGCCTGGACAAGTCTCTGCAGTTTTTCAAGTTTTTCCAAACTGGCTTGCCATTGTCTGCTTCCTAGGGTTGAGAGGGAATGACTGGTCCAAGGTCACCCAGCCAGTTTCAGCCTAAGGCAGGACTGGAACTCAAGTCTTTATTTTTAGCTTGCTGCCTTAACTAATACACCAAACCTGATCTCTTAAACTGGGCACTATCCGCAGGAATTTATCCATCCTTGTAAATTGGATTGTAATGGAACCCAGTCATATGAAATATGCATGCTCCTATTATCTCCTAAGGCTTTCCTGGGACTGCATATTCTCGCCCTTGGTTTCATCACATTTCTTCAAGAGGGGATTATGAAAAATATTTACTGCCTGAAATTTTGTGCTGCTATAGTCCCGGCATTATTGCTCCATCCCAAACAAGCAGATTGGACAATTCGCGGACAGCCACCATTTTCACGATCTCCTCTTGGGACAAGAAGGAGTGAGGGTCTGCGGGAATATATTTTGCCGGGGAAAGACCGGGTCCATCCAGGTGAACGGAAAAAGCTAGCTCCAGTGCTTTCCAGTTTTTTGGGTAACTCACGTCGGTCGTTCCCAACAAGAGAGGGCACGTACCAATCCCAGACTCCCTCCTCTCCCTGCACGTCCAGCATTGCCCGGGAGTTTTTCGTGCGCTTCGTTGGATCTCGCGTGTTCCCAGCCCGTGTCCCAGAGGGTTGGCGGGGGAGGCGGCGGCACGAGAAGGAGGCGGGATCAAGGAAGGCGGGGGGAGGGGAAAGTGCCGCTCGCTCCCATTGGTACGTGTGCACGCTCCCGAGCGGCTTGTCCTCTGGTATCCGGTAGTGTTCGGCGAACATGGCATTTCCCACACGGGGCTCGCTCGGGCAGGGCTATACGCAACAGGAGCGGCATGCCGTCGCCCCGGTAAGGCGATGCCGGCCGCCCGGCGGATCTGACTTGCCTGCAAATGGCCTCGGGCAGGGAAGCAACCGTGCAGCCTCCGACGGAGCTCAGTGGCGACTCAGTAGAAAGCATGAGGAAGATTTTCATCGGTCATCCCGAGAGCAGCGAGGATGGTGACCGAGCCGGGCGAAAGGAGCAGCTGGACGGGCCGGAGAGAGGCTCCCTGGGAGCTCTCCTCTCCCCCGGCAACTCAGGCGAAGTGCGAGCGGCCGAGGGCGCGTTGCCCTCCGGCCCTTCGCCTCCTAAGCGGGCGCCCGTCCGAGAGCATCGCCGAGATGCTCAGAGGCTAGTCTTACACTATATAGTGCCTTGCATGAACGCCTATGGCTTGTGCGTTGTAGACCACTTCCTTGGATCCCGGATAGCGGAGAAAATCTTCCAAGAAGTCCTGGCTTTGCACCTGAGTGACAAATTCCAGGACGGAGCCCTGGCGAGCCAGAAACTGGGCAGCAACAAAGCCATCCGCGGGGACAAGATCTTATGGGTAGAGGGCAGTGAACCAGGATGTGAGAACATAGGCTACCTCCTGAAAAAAATGGATAAGCTCATCATGTACGCAGATGGGAAGCTGGGGCATTACAAAATTAGAGGAAGACACAAGGTTAGTAGTTTCAGTATCGAGGACTTTGTTCTTCACTTACTACCAGCAACTTTCCCAAAGTTTCTAATCTCGCTGTCACTCGGAGTCTGAACTTTTAGCTGTGCCCTTCTGGTCACTCTTGTATGCTTGTTTGTCTTGGAGTTATTTTTCTTCCAAATACCCTAATTCGATCGCTTAGTAAAAATACAACTTTAAGGGTTGAATTTACACAATATAATACTAGTTACACGTGATTGATTTCCGAACCGGACAAGAAGGGGTATTATCGCAACATTAAGGGCAATTCTGTCTTCCTTTCTCTCTTTCTTTCCTCTTACTTTTTCGGAAACATACAAATACACTTCATTAGAAGCACATCCGGAAGATTTTTAATCAAAAGTTTCATCATGTTGATTTTTATATTGTTACGCAGCAAGAATCGGATGTATTTTGCTTTTTTTTTTTTAAGATGGCATATATGAGATGCAGAATCCTTTCGATTAAAATCGTAGGAGCTTTTTGAATGCAGCATCCGCAGTGAGGGCACTTAAACGTTAAAATACGACTAACGTTGCTTATAAAACAATTGTTGTGCGTCTGAAAGGCTTTGTCTGCAGAAAAAGGAGAAGCCGCCTTCCGGGGAAAAAATGCTGAGCACTTGTAAACTCAACACCTCTCGGGTATAGTCAGTTGCCAAAAGAAACTCCACTGTCACTTGCGCGCTTACACCCTTTCCCTCCCGTTTGTTTACATTGGCCTGTAGTATGTGGCCGTATTAGAAGCGTACATGCTGGGGTAGAGTTCCTCAATGGCGGAGACCACGCCCCCTCGAAGTGTGGCCTTCAGGCCCGGCAAGCCTCAAGTCACGCCTCCTGCAGCCACGCGGCTCTTCGACTCCCCTTCCCCCCACGCGGCAATTCCAGCCGTGAATTGGGGGCGGGGGAAGGGGCTGGAAACGCCGTTCGAAGCCACACCTCGTCTCTTCGTTGATTGGCTGCATCCACGCTCCCTTTGGTTGATGTGTGGGCGCGCGGAGAGAGATTGTTTCTGGGCCGGGGCTCCACCCACGTGCCGCTGGCTGTAGAAGTTGGGAACACATCCTGCACGTAGCAGACGTATTAATCAGAGAGGGGCCATCTGCTGCCTTGGTAAATAAATGGGAAAGGAGTTTGCCGGACGTGGCTCCCCAAAAGGGGGGAAGTGATCGTCTCAGCCAAAGGGGGTGTTCACTTCTCACACTGATCTCCTGGCCTCAGAACGAATAGCAAAGATCTTCAGCCAAAGTGTTACTCTTACCGTAGGTGGAAGGCAGCCCCGGGGGTGGGGGGAGTGGTGCAGTTGCCCTTCATACTATTCTGAAGCTTTGGGTCGCCAGGAGTGGCGAGAAACTGAGATGGTGACTGCTGGCTGCACGGAAGACCGAGTGTTATTACTTGAGCAAAACTTTTGAGCGCTCGGCTTCATTACTTCCCTGATACAGAGCAACTCTGTCTGGTTGCGGTTCTCCGTCGCAATCTGAGAAGTTTGACCTGCTGAAGCGAGCGGCCGATTCGTTTTGTTAGAATAACCGATACTCAAGCAGCCCAGGCTCTGGGACAAATCCAAGATTGCTCTTTTTTGACATTATTTAGGGTTGAGGGTGAAATGCCATTGGGCGATATTATGAGATTAGATTTAGAGAAAATTGCCCTGGGCTACATTGTACCTTGTTTGCGCGATATTGGCTTTTGCTACTTGGACAATTTCTTGGGCGAGATCATAGGGGATTGCGTCTTGGAATGTGTAAAACAGATGCATTATAGTGGGGAGCTGCAGGATGGTCAACTGGCCGGCCAGCGCCATGGCATCTCCAAGAGACACTTAAGAGGAGACAAGATAAAGTGGATCTCAGGCACTGAGAAAGGATGCGAGGCCATCAACTTTCTCCTGTCACTGATAGATAGACTGGTGATGTTTTGTGGCAGTAGTTTGGGCAAATACTATGTCAAGGAAAGGTCCAAGGTAAGAGCTTCAAAAATAAGACGTTGAATGTTTGACTTAAGGGGTTTATTTCATTCATTTCACTATTGCTCCTGGAATTAATTGGTGAGCTGGAAGTGCCACATAGAGAGCAATTTCAGTCTTTTTCTCTCTCATTTTTTAAAACCTTGAACCTAAACTTTATCATGTAAATAAGATCCATTGTGATGTCTAAGTCAGTTTAACAACTTAGTATATGCTAATGAATGAATGTACAATTTGTAAAGTTAAATTTAGTAAGATATTAGTGTGAATGACAAATCTGCCTATATGCAGAGTATTTTTGGGGATTTTTTTGTTTCTGGTTTCTAAAAGTAGTTCTTGAACAACAGTTGTAATACCAGCCTTGTAATAAATCTTTAAAACTTTGCTGGCGCAGCTGTAGATAGCAACCTTATTTTGTTAAAAGTTTGCAAAAGTCTAATTCAACTAAACTTGACTTTGATTGTTGTGCTCAAATAATCAAGTGCTTATCAAACTACTTTAGCTTGTCTTGAGGGATTAACTTTATTACCTTTCTAATTAATGCATTTTTATTCCAACAGAGTCCACTGCACAACTGAATCTGTAAAATCCATATTAATTAATAAATTTAATAGATGCTGCAGAATGTGTACAAGAGTTAATTCCTTCTGATGTTTGAAGTTAGCATTGGTATAATTCATATGCCACTTCAAATTTTTATTAACCAGAAACAATGAGTGTTTACTCAGAATAAGTACCGCTTAGTAAATGTGTTTAGGATTACTGATACAGAACGTTCAGAGGTGTGCTTAGAAAGGTTAATAATTTATTAAATTTATTACAATGATTACACTAGTGTAACAGAAAGGCCTGCCATAATAGCCATACTAATATTTTTCCCTTTGTATCAAACTTTATTCCTAAAATTTTTTTCAAAGCAATTTGAATTTTTTGTCATTGAAGTAGAAGAGTGAATTGTGTCACTTATATGTTTGAACAAAACCAAAATCATACTCAAAAGCCTGTCTCTTTCTGCTAGTGACTGAATGAACTAGAATTTCTAAAGCTCTTCTTTTGTTAGTGATTTAGTCTACAGAATATAACATTAAACTGTTTTTAAAGCTTCATTGTTTTGGGTCACAAGTGGAACTTTTGATCAGAATTTCATCTAGACTTTTTTCTTTTTTCATTTTTTCTTGACAATTAATGTTCCAAAGTGACAGGTATAAGCACACTTATAATGAAGTAGATCCCACTGAATTCAGTATGAAAGGTGCTTAGAAGTATTGTGGACAATATGTCTTGGTTATCCAACCTATAATTTACAGTGTCAAGGTTTCCTAATCAACCAACCAACCCCCTCCCCCCCAAAGTCAAACTGCATATACCTGATTCCTACAGAGAACTTTGAGAAAACTACTTGCCTTGAAAAAAATGGTTGATTGAATGTCTGGAAAGCCAAGTTCTTGTCATTTGGTTTTCAGTTTAATTGATTTGGTTATTTGCAACAATTCATCCATCTGTCATAACACATGTTGTTGGTGAGATGTTACAGTAAATCTCCATTATTTTAAAAGGTGCTGTGTCATGCACACACACATCCTCCTCAGATCACAGTGTTTACATTGGTGAAACATGGATAAATATAATTCCAAATCCATTTTAAACATCTGGCTGGCTGTACGACAAACCAGTAATAATAATATATTAAACTTATAAGCTGTCCAAATGACAAAATGCAAATAATTAAAAATGTAAAAAGCTTATCCACTTGCCATAATATAATACCTAATACAGATAAGACCCTCAATTTCATGTTCTTCCAATCACTTTCAAAATTAAATATAGCTGTCATAGTATATAGCTGATCTTTACCTTGTAGGAGCTAAACATTAATGTTCCATGATAGTAAATTCAAACTTCATCTATCCAATTGATCTAATTATAGCTTAAGGACAGTGCAGAGCCTGTCATGCTGGCTAGCCCTAAAAATGGAAGAGAATGTCATCCATGATGTAAATAATGCACATTACCACAGGGTGTTCCTGATTTCCTTAGCATGCTGAAGAAATGGCATAGCCATATCCTTTGGTTACAGTGGTGCAGTTTCTATCATCTGGTGCCTTCTTGTGTTGGGATGACCACTAGAAATCTCAGGCAGGATGGAAAAATATTAAATAGAATCTTCACTATAAAATGTTAGGGGTATTACTTTAATCCAATAATTTTTAATGAACATTTGAAAGACATCTACGTTTTGCTTAATGCTATTCCCAGGGGTTGAAATTTTAAGAAGAATCAAATGTACATTGCAACCAAAGGTTGTTTTATATTTGTTAGAAATTTATTACATTTGCACTAGAAGTATTTAATTACAAAATTTTTGCAAATTTAATATTATTTTAAATGGGCTATGATCTTGGAAACAAGTGTCTTTGTAAGATTTAGTAAGATTTAGTAAATCTTAGCAAGATTTAGTTCTGACTAGGTACACCTGACATTGCATAGTTATAAACCATCCTGGAGTGTTTATGTAAAATCAGTACTAGCAAGTAGTAATTATGGTAATGATTCCCGTTTCAAAAAATCAAGTCTAAGCAGGTATATCTGTTACTAAGAAGCATAGTTGGAAGCATAAGCCTCACATTGTTCTTAGTCTTAAACAGACTAAGATAACATATTATACAGGCACAGAAGTCAATATTTCCTATTAAAGTAACTAATAAAAACAAAATGATTGTGTCCTATCGGTTAATCTTAAATTTATAGTTCATTTTTATACACTGCTATATACCAGCTTAAAAAATACTGGGCAGGAATATTTATTTCTTTATTGCATTTATATCCTATCACAGTCAAAAGTCAAATTTGGTGGGTCAAATGCTTTTGATTAGCTTTTCCTTGGCATTAACTGAAATAATGTTGGCATGTTAACAAATCCTAGGAGAAGATAAAGGCCTGCTTCTAAAGAAATCTAATTGTATCTTAGAAAGCTACACAGTGTTTTTAAAAAGAGGCTTGGGAGTGCACAATGGTGCAAATGCAGCACCTTTTTTTGCTTCTCATCTAAAAGAACTGCCAAATTCTAATAATTCACACAATAGTTAATATTTTATCTTGCATTGATATAATTCCACTGCTGTTGCCAGATCAGGAAAAGTACAGGTAATCCTCGATTTATGACAACAATGGAGCCCACATTTCTGTTGCTAAGTGAGATAGTTGTTAAGTGAGTTTTGCCCCATTTTACAACCTTTCTTGCCACAGTTATTAAGTGAATTTGGCTTACCCATTGACTTTGCTTGTCAGAAAGTTCAAAAGATGATTACGTGAGTATGAGCTCACTGAATCAAATGAATGTAAGATTGTCATAATTCTCATCTCGGCGTCAGTATATTAATTTGTGGAAACTTTGTTTTGGATCCAACTCATAATGACTGTTTCTCTCCATTGGTGCCTATGCATATCTTTAAAAAAAAATCACTGTTACTGTTAAATCTCATAGATCTGTAAGCTTCAGAAGTGTGAATGTGTTTCTCTTCTGGGTTTAAAATTTAGTGGCAATGTGAATAAGATTTACTATAGCACTACTGAAGACTTAACACCTTTGAAACTACTGTTGTTTATTATAAAGTCACAAAAGAGTTTCATATTTGGAAAGCAGCATTGCTGTAGTTTACAGTAGATGATCCTGGAGAAATATGCAGTTTGCCTTTCTTTTTCTAACCAAGTACGCATGTTATTGCCCAGTGTTCATCAGACTGGACCAAAATCACTAGAATTGTAAATAGAACACATTTATTTTATAATGTCAGATGGAGGAATTCTGCTTTGGCAGAGATCCCGGAGCAGTTGCTGTGGCTTTGTATTAAAATTAATGTTTATATTGTACTTGTCAAGCAAGATTAGTTGATATTATGTTCAGGTATAGGTTTTTGAGTGGTTTTATTTCTTGCTTCTTGTTTTGCCTTTTTTCTTTTTCTTTTTCTTACAAAAACAAGGTGTTACAAATTTCCAGTTTGATGGACTTTTGTTTCCATGCTTCTATGATTTCTGTTTTCTTTATGGAAAATGTGCATTTCACATTATTTTTCTAACAGCATTTTTAAAAAGTGAAATAAGAGCATAGATGATTTATTTAGTTCATTATGTTTGTGTATCATGTATTGTCCATGTATTGCCAATGGTTATACAGTAATTTAAAGATCACAGTCCTATTATATTTAATAATTAAGACATCAGTTTATCACTGAGAGTTTTCAAAAGAAACATATTATGAAACGTTGATAATCAACAAAATATTCTCTCTCATCTTAACTAGTTATCTAATTTAACTTGGTTTAAGCAGTGTGAACAAGGAGACCTAGCTCTAGAATCCTGTGAAAAAATAAGAACACTGTTTTGAAAATGCTTTCATCCAGTTCAGTCTGAAAAAACAACATCCCAATCGAATAAAAACTTCATGCAAAAGTTAGAATATTTAATTTGGATTCAGGAAAATCTATATAATGATATAATTTTTCAACTGCTCTTTGTTATATTTTAGGCCTAATGTTCTTGTGAAAGGCAGATTTTAAAATGTAAGGATCTGTAGAGTGATATTTGCTATAGAAATTATTGATCAATGTAGATTGGTGGTGCCAGAAGTCTTGGCCTGAACCATGATAGAGTACACATTTCTGAGAGGGTGAATCTTCTGGCTGGGGAATAGAAAATTCTCTTATGAAGACTGATAATCCAGTTTTGTGGATATCATTTGAGGAGAACTAATTGTCTAACACAGTGGTTCTCAACCTTTCTAATACCGCAACCCCATAATACAGTTCCCCATGTTGTGGTGACCCCCAACCACTTATACATCACCGGGTGCCAGGGGCGTGACCAAAGAAAAGGGAAAAATGGCGGACAGCCTTGTTTGGCGGCCCCCGTGAAATGGTCGTTCGACCCCAAATGGGGTCCCAACCCACAGGTTGAGAACCACTGGTCTAACAGACCCCACATTCTACATGTTTCTTATC